GGGGTGGAGAGAAAGCACGGGCATGTTTTAGTTTATTTCTTGAGTGTTTTCTACATTTAAATAAAAATGAATTGGGCTCGAGGGCAGAGGATGGGTGCATGGTGGAGGCGAGGAAGCAAATTCTCAGCTGTTCAGAAAAGTCCATGTCCAAAAAGAAAGTGGGGAGCAGGGGGCTCTGCCACCGGCCAGCCGCAAGCTTGCCCAGGGCTGCACGTTGCCCTGGACACCAGGCTGGGCTGCAGGCACCGACACGGACCTAATTAGGGTGGTTGCAGAGCCGGGTGGGGTGTGTGAAGTGGAGTCCAGGGCTTCAGCACTTTGCCAGGGGCAAAGGCAGAACTTCTGGGAGACCCCAGGAGCCTTGGGCTACTGAGTAGGGGGAGCAGTGAGCTGGGGGACACAGGGCTGCACACACAGTGAGCTGTTGATGTGCCTCACAGGAACAAGGGAGCAACGTACTCTGCTAAAGCACTTCCCCAAGTGCACCCTGACTGCTTCACCCAGCTCATGCCCCACTCTTCTTCCCTGACTCTATCCCCACCTCCAACCTCAGAGTGTTCCTGTGACCCAGGAAGGGTGCAGGGAACTGTGACCCCCTTTCCAACCCACCTTCCCTTGGATAAGAAGGAGGTGGGAATCTCATACAAATTGTCCAGCACCCACAGTTGCAGAGGAATGGTGTATTTTTGTGGTTTTTATTTTTGCTCTGTTTTGTTTTAATCTAGACCGTTTAACCAGCATCATCAGTCAGAGAGACTTCAAAAGAGGGTGGGTGGGGGGCCCTGGGGGACTCAGTCCCTTGGCCATCAGACTCTTGGTTGTCGCTCAGGTCCTGATCTCAGGGTCAATAGATCGAGCCCCACGAGGGCTCAGAGCTCAGCACGCAGTCTGCTTGTCTCTCTCCCTCTTCCTCCCCTCTTTCTCTCTCTCTCTCTAATTAATTAATTAATTAAAGCTTAAAACAAAAAGAGGTTGGCAAATTTAGGACTCCCCTATCTCTCACTCCAGAGAGGAACCCTTGGAATTCTGGCACCACCTGGTCCTGAAGCATGAGCTTCCGCCTTAGTTCTGCGGTCCTCCCGGCCCCTGCGGACAGGTCCCTGGTGCGAAGCGAGGAGACCCCCCCCCGCCCCCTCCGGGCGCCGCGGCACGTTCGCAGACAAAGAGAACGGAGGCGTACAGAGGCTGCAGCCCACTCAGACTTTATTCAAAGATCGGGAAGTTGAGATGCGCCGAGCGCGAGAGAGCCTCGGGACGGGGGCAGGGGGACCGCCGCGGCTTCAGCTTAACGGTATTTGGAGGTCAACACGGTGCTCACGGCGCTGAAGAACTTGTCCAGGGAGGCGTGGACCGCAGGGGTGAAGTCCGCGGGGTGGTGGCAGGCCAGGGTCACCAGCAGGCAGTGGCTCAGGAGCTGCGGAGAGAAGGGACGTCAGCGGCCGCCCGCGCTCCACCTTCCGGAGCCCGGGGGCCGTCCGCCCTGCTAACAGGGCCCGCTGCGCCCTCCTGCCCCAGATCTCTCCGGGCCGGCCCGCGTGCTCACCTTGAAGTTGACGGGGTCCACACGCAGCTTGTACGCGTGCAGGTCGCTCAGAGCCGACAGGGCACCTGGCAGGTCATCTATGTGGGACACAGCGGTGGTCAGCGCGTCGGCCACCTTCTTGCCGTGGGCCTTGACCTGGGCGGAGCCGGGGCTCAGGTCGAAGTGGGGGAAGTAGGTCTTGGTGGTGGGGAAGGCCATGAAGGTCCTGCGGGAGGAAGGGTTGGGCGAGCCAGGGTTAGGTGGGGCGGCGGAGGACAAGGGTCGTGAGGGGTCCCCGAGCCCTGATCCCAGCAGGGGAGGGTTGGGTCCTCACCTCTCCAGAGCCTCTCCGCCATACTCGCCAGCATGGCCGCCAATCTTATCCCAGGTGGTCTTGACGTTGGTCTTGTCGGCAGGAGACAGCACCATGGTGGGTTCTTTCTGAGTCTGTGTGAGGACCAGAAATGCGCCGGGTGGGGAGTGTGCAGAGCATTTATGCCTGGGGCGCGAGGGGCACGCCCGCCCGGGCCGCACTCATTGGCTGGCCCGGTGCCAGGAGGTGTCCCCAGTGAGTGCTGGTGGGGGTCCCAAGGCCGCCCTCTCCCCGTCCAGCGCAGACCAAGATCCAGTTCTCTATGGTACCCTCCATTTCCACTCCTGTGGTTCCAGGGAGCCCACACAGGTTCCTGACCCACCCGCTTTGCACCTGCTTTTGGCTCCGAACCTGGGGTATTTGCTGGTTGGGGAGGAGAGTACAATATTTTCTGAAGTGAAACAAGCTGTTTTTGCACCAAACTTTACCCAGGACCAAGAGCTGTAGATTGTCCATGTAAATAATGAGGGTGAAGGAGATAATGTGGGATCAGGTGCTCCAAGCCCTCCTTCCCCTAATGGTGAGCAGGCACTCCCCACCACCGCAGGGTAACAGGTGCAGGCACCGACTGCAGAGTGGGGTGGGTAGTTCGGCAGAGGCACCGTCAGGGCTTACCCTCTGGCATCCTTCGGACTTGGGCGCATCTGGTCAGGTCGGGCTCAGTGCTCCCTGCACCCACGGAGATTGTTAGCGGGAACCTTCCTCATTCAGAATCTAGCGAGCTCCCCGAGTCCCTCTCCCTGGCCTCGTTCTGTTGTCAGAGAAGGTTCTCAGTAGAGAGCTAAGATTCCTGCCCCAATGTCAGGGAGGGGGGAGAGATTGACCCTGGGGACTGGGTCTGGGGGTGAAGGAGAGGAACGCCTTGGTTGGGGGACCCACAGAGACTGAAAGGTTTGGCTGGGGCTGGAGTGGAGGTTGGGTGGCCCTGGGCCTGCCAGGTACTGACCCTGCTTTATGATCTTATAAATTACTTCAAAGACCCAGCGAGGGGTCAGCTTTTTGTTTGTTTGTGTTTACATCGGATGCATTAGGGTCAGATTGCTCCTGGACATGTCCAGTATCACAGAGCTGTTGTGTGAACGGGGTTAGAAACCTGCTCTGTCTGCCTGATCGTGGCCATCAGGAGTTCCTACCCCAGTCCCCCACCCCAGGAGATTCAGAGGAAGGGGCTAACTTGGCTAGGGCAAAGTTCACTGCCGACTGAGTGCCAGGGGGAGGGGAGGAAGCAAAGAAGGTCAGAGGGGTCCTGGCCCCTAACTCTGACCTCTGGTCAGGAACTTGACCCTTGGTCCTAGGTGCCTGCATTTGTCTGCCAGAGGTGAGGATTCCAGCTGGTAGCCCCCAGCGGAAGGGATGGAGGGAGAATGAATGAATGATTGAATGAATGCAAACGTGCTTTGTGAACGGTGTGTCACCGTGGGTGTGTTGGAAATGAACTGCACCCTGAGAACCTTCCTCATCTTAGCACCCACCTGTCCCCCCCATTTCCCCATCACAGGAAGGCAATTGTTTTGTTCAAGTCTTTGGGGATCCACACCCTGCCCAGACCCGGGAACGTCAACCCAGGAACTGTCCCCATTTGAGAGTCCTGGGCCCCTGTTCCTTTGTGCGCAGAGGTCTGGGATCGCGCCTTAAGATTCCGGGAGGCTCCGCACAGGACCCGGAGGTTCTCTGCCAAGGCGCAATAACCTCAGCCCACCAGCTCCCCAAAGACCACACACGCGCAGGGTCCGGCCGTTTGAGGCCTGTTTATTGACATACAGAGATCTAAGCCGGCGGGGCAGGGGACTCAGCGGTACTTCTCGGTCAGCACCACCGCCACGCCGGTCAAGAACTTATCCCATGCCGCCTGCATCTCTACGGTGAACTCGCCCTGCAGGTGGGAGGCCAGCACCACCTGGAAACACTGGATCAGCAGCTGTGGGAGAAGGGGCGGATGAAAGGGGGACTGCCTTTGCCAATTCCCTGTCCAGCCCCAACCCCGGCTGCGCGCGCGCGAACCCTACGGAGGCCCGGGCGGGCTCACAGGGAAGTTGGAGGGGTCCACGCGTAGCACTTGCGCGTGCAGGTCGGCGAGCGGGCTCAGCGCCGCGCGCAGGTTGTCCATGTGCTGCACGGCCACGCCCACTGCCTCGAGCATGCGTTGTCCGTGGGTCAGCAGCTGAGTCTCGTCAGGGCAGAAGCCCAGGTGCTTGAAGTAGCTCTTGGTGCTGGGGTAGACGGTGAAGAGCCTGACGGAGCAGGTCGGTGAGTGAGGAGGGCGGCCGCCTGGGGTCCTCCCAGCGCCTGCACTGCCCAGACACCCGGAAATCTCCCGCCTGGGCCGCTCCTCGGACTCCGGCCCCAACCCCCTGTGACCGCCTCCCTGCGAGCCTGGAAACCCCGCCTCAACCCACCTGAGCAGCAGCTCCGCCCCAAAGGACGCCTCGTGGCCAGCGATCAGGTCCCAGACCTGCGCCACCTGGATGCGCTCTTGGGCGCTGAGCATGGCGCTGGCGGGGCGTGCTCTGGGGGCCCCTCCCGCCGCGCCGGCCTCCTTATAGCCTCCTCACACCCCAGGCACCCCGCCTGCCCTTATCTGCAGGACGGCGGCGGGAACGCGGGGACCCTCGGCTAGCACCGGGAAGTGTCTCCAGCCCAGGTCCCGATCGCCGCGGAGGCCACCGCCTGGCGGGGCTCCAGCTTGCCCGCAGTGACTCACGCGGCTGTGCGTGCGTGCTTTTGCTGCAGACTTTAGCTGGATCTGGAATTACTCCCGCGCGGGCAAAGTTAGAACCTCTCCAGGAGGGAGCCAGTGGAGGGATTGGGAGAAAGAGCGCTGGGCAGGGAACCCCCTTTTCCCCGCGGGACGGGGGATCGTATCATGGGTCCCCGCAGCGCGGGAGCTATGACAGCAGGCTTTGAGGAAAAGCCTCCCGAGCGCCGACGCTCACCCAACACGCTGAGTAAAGCAACAATCTTTGGGCGATTTGGGAAGCAGGAGAGGAGCAAACGCCTCTTTGACCTGCTCTGCCCCTTCCCGACTCTGGGGTCCGCAGGCGCACGGATCGCCCCACAGCACCCTTGGGGTGGCTTTCAAGCCGCTGGTGACACGGGGGTCGGCCGCATTCCTGCGGCTCTCGCTTTCTTTCACTCCCCCCCTTTCCCGCCAATACCGAACGCAGGGGCCACTCCGTCCTCATCCATTTATTGGAGAATCCGGGGAGGAATTACGGAAGGTTCAGGGGCAGGGAAGGGGCCGCAGTCCGCCCTCCATAGGGCGGCTGCGCTCAGCGGTACTTCTCGGTCAGGACGCAGGACACGATGGACAGGAACTTGTCCCAGGCGGTGTGGGCGTCGGCCGTGAAGTCGGCGGGGAAGTGCGAGGCCACGGTGACCAGCAGACAGTGGGACAGGAGCTGAGGGGCGGGAGCGCGGCTCAGTGAGCGGCCCGGGTGCGGGAGCGCGTGCTCTGGGGGTGGGGCGGAGCACCTTCGGCCGAGACCCGGCCCCTTCCCGCGCTCCTCGTCCCTGCCAGGACCCCAGGCCCCGCGCCCACCTTGAAGTTGACGGGGTCCACGCGCAGAATGTAGGCGTGCAGCTCGCTCAGCTTGGCCAGGGCGCCCGCGACGTTGTCGATGCTCTTGACCGCATCGCCCAGGGCGGCCACCACCTTGGCACCGTGCACGCGCAGGTGCACGGAGCCGGGGCGCAGGTCGAAGTGCGGGAAGTAGGTCTTGGTCTGCGGGTAGCTGGTGAAGAGCCTGCGTGCAGGCATCGTGTGAGTGCCAGAGGAGGGCGGCCTCCCGTCCACCTCCCCAAGATCCCTGCTTCCTTTCCTGAGCCTGAAGACCCAAATGCGACCTCGCCACGGGGCCTGCCAACTCAGCAGCTGCATCGCATTCTTGACACCCACTTTGCTCTCAGACTGCTGCCGCTCGCCCAAGCTTGGTCCCATGGTCTGGAGGCCCTCTGCCTCCACACCCTCCCAGCACCTAACCTTGCCCCTGCTCCCCACCTCAGCCCTCTTCCAAGGTCTCCTTGCTCCCAGTTGACCCTGCAAACCCACTGTAGGGCTCCAGCCCCTTTTCACCTCTTGTCTGGCCACAGAAACCCCCTTCCCAGCCCCTGACCAGGCTTCCTGATGAACGGTCTGCCAGAAATAATGCCCTCTCCAGCTCTATGGCAAGGAAGATCTCTTCAGGGAAACTACCTGGGATCACCTTCAGGCAGGATTAGAGACCCTGATGTTAGTGCTTGTAGTCTCTTGACTGCCTCCTTAGGCAGTTGAGGCCTTGGAAGAAACACATCCATGCTCCTCTGGGAAGATCCTGGGCCTGTCCCTGCTCAGGCCTCAGTGAGCATAGGGTCAGCCAGAAGTCCATGCAGTTCATCTTCCCTCCTCACTGGTCTCTCCTCGCTGGCCCCTGTCCTCCCTGGCCCCACACCGTCACCTACCTGGCTCCATCCCAGCCCATCTGGCACTCACCTCTCCAGGGCCTCAGTGCCAATGGCATCCTCCTGAGTGGAGATCTTGTCCCACATGGACAGGATGATGGTCCTCTCTGCCTTGGTCAGAGACATGGTGGTAGCTGAGCTGGGCGTGCTTAGGACAGGCCTCTGTGGTGCTCGACCCCCAGGATCCCTTTATATACACGGAGCCAGGGTGGGGGCTGGGCTGTGGCCATTGGTCTGGAGAGGGGATAGGGCTGTGCGGGTAGGGTCTCTTATCAGACCCAGTGAGGGTGGGTGGTCAGGGGCTGGTGGCACTGGTGGGGTGAGGGGCTCTCCAGCCTCCCCCTGCTGGGCCACAGCTAGAGTCCAAGTTGCAGGGAGATAGGGGCCCAGGCCTGGGTGGAGAGTCCACGTGTCGGCCCAGCTGCATGACTGGCCTCCACAGTCATTGTCCCTGACCTCCCTGTCCTTGTGCTGGAAGGGTGACCTAGAATGCGTCAGGATCTCACAGAAGCACTCCCCCTCCTTCCTGTATTTACGCTTTTGCTGTGCTGCCTCATGAACCACGTTACAGATGAGTGAACTGAGGTCCACAGAGGGACACTGAAGCCAGCTGTCACAGGGTGCAAGTGACAGTCTTGGCTTCAGACACTCTGCCTCTGCTATGTAGCCCCTTCCCCACCTGGATGAGGTTCTTCTCCCCCAGCAGCTTGACTGGGGACGCTCTCCAAGCTGAGCACCCAGGCTGGGAGGAGGCTCGACTCTTGACTCAGAGCCTGGGATTACATGAGTCTCCGCCTGCCGCCTTCCCAGCACAGCTTGTACGGTTTATTTCTATCTCTTTACCCTCCTAGCTCATTCCCTTTCCCTTCTCCCCTATAAGGCAACCCTTCTAATGTGCTTAACATGTTCCTTTAGTTAGTATGTGTTATTGAAAAGGGTACATTTTTAGGCGTGTATTTTGAGTTAAATTATAGGTTGATTTTTAAAAATTTAACATAATCATTTCCTCACAAGCACACCTTTTTAAAATACAAGAATTTTTTTAGGGGCGCCTGGGTGGCTCAGTCGGTTAAGTGTCTGCCTTCGGCTTGGGTCATGATCCCAGGGTCCTGGGATGGAGGTCTGCTCAGTGGGGAGCCTGTTTCTCCCTCCCTCTGCAGCTCCCCCTGCTTGTGCTCTTTTTCTGTCAAATAAATAAATAAATCTTTTTAAAAAGAAGAAATATAGGAATTAAAAAAGATTTATTGATTTATTATTTGAGAGAGAGATCGAGAGAGGGAGT